AGATCCATTCAACCTTTCTATCATGACATTTACCATAATGTCACCACTGAAAGTTTATTAGTGATCCAGTTAAACAGAAGGCAAATCACTTAACATATGTAATCAGCTTAAATGACTAACCAAAACTCTAATTGAGTATTAAAAATTTATTTGCAGTAGTTTGTGTCATTACAAAACTATTTCACAGCCTTTAGATGACTAGACATGTAACCGTTTCTGTGTTCAGAACGTCCTTTCTGTAAGATAAAACTTTCTTGTAAAATCACAGAAATGTACAGAATGTACATTATCACATCACTACTACACGGCTAGAGGAAACTAAATATACCAGTACACATACTGAATAAAGTCCAATTTCTATTAAGTAGCCAGCACCATTAAGTTGCAGTATCCTAGTACACCGTTATCCCACATTACAGACATATTGAAATGCCTGGGATTTTGTTATTCCACGAAATTGATATTCTAAATATCACTTTACACAACTATACCACACATCCACCACATTTAATACAGTTTTCTAGTGAAGGCAATATATCAGGCAGTTTGAAAGTTTTCTAGCACATGTATATCTTAACAATATATTACATATACATTCAAATATCATAGTTTTCCAGTGTCATACACTTCCCATATATTAATTACCACACTACAAAGTCATTTTTCTGAAGGAAACAGTCTCTGTTATACAATTTTAGCTATTTTAGCTGTAGTTAAAAAACTCCACTTCCATGTCTCTAAGCATCCTCAAATAACTATAACAGTTGAACTTTAGAACAGAAGAAAGAAAATAAACATTTCAATCTCTATGTTCAGCAATTGTAAATGACTTACCAACACAATTTGAAGTATACTCGATATAACTGTTAAGTGTTAAAAGCCTAGCCCAATTCCAATTTTATTCACAAGAATGTTGCGTATATAAATACCTGCATGATTATAAGGATCCTAGCAGCATTTCAAATAAATTTTGACAAAAAATATTTTGATGTCATCTTTTTTATGATTTAAGCAGCAAAGTAAAATGTTAAAAATGATTTTCTTATTTTCTGAACCAAAATATTCAACTGATTTTTAGATCCAACAATAATTCATTCTTTAATTTTCAAACTGCATTGAGGTTTTGGAGCACTTTTTGAGTTATCTTTTTATTTCTATGAACATTTTCAGAGAAAAAAGATTTATTTATGAATAATATGTATAAAAAAATTATATCTGATCATGAATGTCTACCATTCCTACCTGAGGACAACTGTAAAGTGAGTAAGAAAAAAATTAGTCTCCAAAATATTTTTTTCATACATCCATTAAATAGATTCAGAATAACAGACGTAATACAATTTTCAATGAATATGGAAAGAAAATTGATGTATAAAAAATTTCTTCATATTGTCAATATGTATTCTGTCTTTTCGTATTTCCAAGTTATCTGCTCTTATCATAGCAGGTATTGATAGTTATGTCATTAATTTGCCAGAGATATTTATTCTGTAACTCTCAAAAGCAAATGAACCAACAACCAATACCCGCTCACAGGAGCAAATAACTCTGCATTAATAAGAGCTAAACAGGAATTTTCTACAAAAACTTACAAAGTGATATTGATGTACTTACCATACATATAGTACGGTAAAATTGAAATTTTCCCATCATTTTCACCAAGGACAGATGGTGTAAATTACTAGAAACTGAGGGTTTGTCAAGATAACTACAATAAAGCTGGTAATTGTCTAACTTTCTAACTTTATCCTACCATAACAGGCTAACACTGTCAATACAACAGATCAGTTTTCAGTATTACAATTGTTTTTTGAGGCAAGTTGAAGCGAGTTTCTTCCTTCAGAAAAAAAAAGAAAGAAAGGATTAAGACAGAAATTGTAAACTGTATCTGTCTGACAGTGAAAAAAAACCTAAACTGAGCATTATTTAAATCCACTTAACATAATTGTTACAGAACACTAAATTTTATTCATTCATGTTTATCCAAAATCCTATTTACAGTTAACAAAACATCCATAAAACATCAACACTTTACTACCTCCCTATCACAATAGTAAAATAGAGGTATTATATCATCACGGATATATTCTTCTCATCATTTGAATCCTAAAAATCTAGAATTACAGCATATGGTAATCTAAATGTTAGTGCCTGGTCAACATTTCTGGAATTTTATCGGTACTGTGATTAAGACAAATGAGGATAACCATTTCAAATTTGAGGCAGTCAATTGTGATTATATTGCTGCAAAATTACTGTAATGCCAGCATGATGTGGTAACAGTAAAATGGACATTTGTGACATAAAAAATCACAGTTTACTGCCACAAATTTCAAAAGTCAGTTTATCCTTATTCTTATTTACATAGAATCTTTTTTTTTTCATTGAGTATGAAATCATGTACCAGGCTCTGGCTCCTGCCATAAAACCTGGGTCAAGATTTTAATAATTCATATCTCAAAAATATAACATCAAATAAATTGAAATTTTCTTAAAAATCTATGTAAATATTTCTATAATCTTGAATTGTTTCATTTTTCGGGGATTGAATACTTAGAAGCTGCACTCAACTATAAAACTGTAATGAATTAATTCAAAATGTTAATATGAAAAAGAGAGAGAGAGAGAGAGAGAGAGAGAGAGAGAGAGAGAGAGAGAAAAAAACAAAATATACAATTTAAAAAAACAATTGGTAGATTTCCCTTTAGGGTCATGTTACTACCCTTGATACAATATAAATATATATATTGGGAATTTGTGGCAAGTCTCTGTGATTTTGAAGAGTAATCAAAGTCATTTTGTACACCGATTAGTTTTAACACCTTCAAAAATCCCTATTTTGTCTGAATTAATAGTGCTAATCACTTAATAATGTCACAGAAAATGATGGCAGAAAGAAGCGACAGTGACTGATTTTTACCATGATAATCATTCTCTCAGGTTTCAATTGTCAACAAACATTGATTTCCTATTATAACCTTAAGGTGTGTTGGCCAATAATGGGGTAAACTGTATAACTTTAATAAGTATATTGTTCAATTAATTGGTTTGCCAGCAAATACAAAAACCCTTCAACTGAAATATTACATTAACAAATGTAAATATTTATATACTCTCTAGTGTAATAACCTACAGTGATATTCAACTGCTACATGATGGTATGAAATCACAAAGTGCAATGTCTTAGATATAATTGAGATATCAGAAAATAAAATATTATATCTTTTTCTGTCAGCACAGCAATTTTTGTAATCAACAAGAAATAAAAACAAATGACAAAAGTTTGATCAACAAACTTAAAATAACATCACTAATATCTATTCATCAGGTCTTTAAGGGTTCCTGGAAAGTTTTCAGATTAAACATATGTTAATATTCATGCCATGGTTTAAGGGGAAACATTGCTGAAGTATTGTAAAGTACTAAATCAACCATCAACAGAGGATCCTATTCTGTCTCCACTCCCTCCTGTACAATCATCCTGTGATAAAACACTACTGGAGGATATCTTAGGATCAGATACATCAATTAGATTGGCAGAAGTAGAATCTGATTCTAAATCTTTATTCGTCTTCTCTACCAAAGAACTTTCAGTCTCTTTCTTCATTTCCCGATTCTCAAGAATAATTCGTTTAACTGCAACCAGCCACTGGCCAACCTGACAATAAGGGAGATAATTCAGTTTTCCTCCAGTAAAATACATGTTATCTGCCATATTCTTTAGATAAACAACTTAAGAATTTGTTTCATTATCTTTCATGATATCGACATCAGATACTCACAACCAATTTTGTTAAAATGACATCAACTGTTTTTCAAAAATTTTAAATATTTAAGTTTTAGATATAAATAAATCACAATTTTCCTTATTTTTCCCTCCCCTAAATTTGAAATGGGAGGATATCAGGAACAAGCTTGTTCACAATGACTTTTGTAAGACTCATACAGAAATAATGCACTTCTGAAAAGAATATTGGCACACATATCATATGAATCCAATACCTCAGCTGTGTAGTCGACCATAAGAGAAAGGTGACCTTCCCATGCCCTGTCAAATTCCTTGTTTTCTAAATCTAAACAAAAGAAAATGTACACAAATTAAAAAAATTATTAACTAAGTAAAACATTTTTTTCTCTTTCCCAAATCAAAGAAACTCTGGTGTGTGCTTTTGTGATGATGATTTTTTAATTTTTTTTTTGACAATGACTTAATGCAAAACATTTAAAAAAATAAATACCTGTAAGTCAAACCAATACTGTACCTTCAAGTATTTTCCATATTCTAAATTGAACCTCATTGGACAACTTTTTATCTTTCCAATTTTCTTTCAAAATATGTAATTTTCTTTTGACATCTTCTGCTGCACGGCCCTGTGGTATCAAGGGAGACAACTCAGATTATCTCCATAAAATGAATTATCAATTACTTTTTTTTTAAATTGTGAAACAAAACATATCAGTTTCCATGAACAGCTCTTGTTGGTGGTCTTAGCACCAGAAGGAAAATAGAGTGTCACTATATACCCCATAAATACCTACAGATTCTGACATGTGACCCAATACCTTTTCACGGTTGATCAGGAAATGGAACCCCAGTCTCCTAATGAAAAATCACTGTGTTATCACTGCGCAACATTATTATTCTAAACTACTATCAAAACTTTTTAACATTGCTAAATGAACATGTGAGTGTCTGCCTAAGTGATGCTGAATTAAAGGGCAAAGATTGTCATGCATAATAAGCTCCACTAATAAAAAATTGTCAATCATGATACTGTTTATTTGATGTTTTCATCCCTTACGCTGATAATGTTTGAAGAATGATAATATCAACTTTCATAAAGTTTGCAACAATTTACAGATTTGTTGTCTTTGTCATCAACAGTATATAAAAGGTTGTAAATTTTTATGGTATAATCCAATTTTTAATACCTGTAGTCTTGGTAAGCACCGTTCAAATTCTATATCAATTCTTTTTTGAACTTTGTCAAAAAGTTCATCATCACTTTTCAAATTTCCTAACATTCTGGTCTTTTCAAGTTCCTCCACATCTGATGCTGAAGAAGTGTTGTCCGATTCCATCTTTGATGAGTTGGGGGCAGTAGGACTCATCATAGGGATCAAAAGGGGTACAGGGGCAGATGGGGTAGTGTTGGTTGTCGGGGGCAAAAGCTGTATCGGAGGAAGCAGTTGAACAGGTGAGATGGGAGGTCCATTGGCAGAGTTCAGCAGAGTTCCCGAACCTGAACAGACAAAGTAAACAGATATGAAATTAATGATATTCTTAATCAATAAATTATAATAATCAGGTTTACCTTGATTTATGTAAGGGAAATGTGCAAACTTTTTATAATCCTATTAAGTTATGTTAAAATACAAAATAAGTGCTGAATTTGCTTCATTATTATCCAGATTTCATAGGACACTCAGTGCAAAATTCAAAACATTATCTGATGTTAGACTGAATCAATAATATCTTCATTTCAAAAAATGTTTTTCATGTTTGAACACAAACTATTACATTGCCATGTAGTGATGTACATACACTTTTATTGAATAATATGAAAAAAAAAAAAAATAAATAAATATTGTCAAAATTTTGTCATGTCATTTTCTTCTCCATTTTTGTACCAATGTACTTACCTTCTCCTTTAATCGCTGTTGATGAGTTGGTATTTACTGCTCCACCTGTGTAAGCTACACGTTTGTTAAGTTTTGTTCCCCTTGGCGATACCTGTCCCGACGTCTTAGGGCTATAATTGAACACAGGTGGGTCATTCCATCCCCTGTCAGGGTTTCCTGTTATGGAGATAAAATAAGAAACACATTTTAGATAAGTCATATACTCAAGGAATATAAAAAAATGCAGTGTGACATTATTTGCAATATCTTGTGAAAACATTCAAAAACAACAAAAATCGGTCAAGCAATTCTCTAGGTTACAGTGTATCGAATGTTGCGTTATTGTACTGTGTGACAATGTTTTCTTGGGAAAGCATGAAACAGAAAAATTTTGTCTTGTTTGATGTCCAAGAGAAACTGGGCGGATTGCTGATAGACCTAGGTCTGGGCATCCGCATGTGACATCACAACATCAGAACAGCTTTATTTGTGTTGCACAATCATCACCTAAATGCCACTGAATCTGCCCTTCATACCATAGGTACTCATAACCGTTCTATCTGCAACAACTGTAAGAAAAAAAAATTGCGTAAAGTTGGTCTGCTGGTATGCACCTGTTTGTAGGTCTGCCCCTAACCACTGCTCGTCGCCAGCATTGTATGGCTTTGGTGGCAGCACATGCCTCCAGAATATTCCCATTGAAGCGGGTCTTGTTTACTGATGAGTCCCGGTTCATCCTGTTCCGATCAGATGCTCAACATTGTTTTTATCGATGTCATGGAGATTGATTTGCCACTTGCTTCAAAGTAGACAATTTGGGGTGGATCGGTTATGGTGTGGGGAAGAATCTCACATTGAGCTAAATCACCACCGGTTGTGGTAGCAGGTAATTCAACTACCGCTAGGTATAGAGATGAGATCTTCCTACCCCATGTTGTCTCATTATTGCAGCAAAACAACCTCACATTCCAGTAGGATAATCCTCAGCCTCATGTAGCAAGGATCTGTCACGACTTTCTCACTAACAACAATATCCACCCACTTGACTGGCCACCATACAGCCCCAATCTATCCCCAGTGAGCACTTGTGGGACTAGCTGGATAGACAAGTTCAACGACACCAGCCTTCCCCTGTTACTCTGGCCCAAATGATAGCAGCCCTCTTTGAAGAATGGTCCAACATTCCCATGAGGAGGATAAACTCACCCATATACTTCTTGCCTAGGTGAATCAGGGCTGTAGGTAGAGCAAATGAGGGACATACCCGGTAATGACTAGCCAGCTCCAACAATCAGTCCATTTTATTTCAGATTACATAGTTCTTTTTCAATTCCCTTCAATTACTGCTACTTCACTTACCAGACACAAATCATTGATTTTGCAGTTTGTTCTGTATGGATTTAATCTTCATTCTTACTTAAAAATATTGAACATTATACCCAACGTCTTGACTAGAATTATCTTCGAAGTTTACTCTGCGTTTCTTTATCCCCCGTATATATTCACATACACGTCGATGAATATTGGAATACCGATGGTGAGAGGTCAGTTGGCTTTTTCTTCAATTATGGATGAAAATAATCAACCAAATATATACTGAAAACATATATAAGATTTCTGCACTGAATTAGAGAATAATTGACAAAGTCTAATAATTTCTATGGTATTGTTTACAAAATGACGAGTTTCAGATCATTGGAATAAACATTTTTTTGTGTTTAACATCATATACTACATTAGACATGCCCATAATGTCGGTCAGACAGAGACAGATTTATTCATTATGCATGAATGGTAAACAAAACAATGTCAATCAATCTAAGATTAATCTATTTACGTAAAACAATTTTAGTGGGTTTGCACTTGCCTGGCCTGGGGGCCGCCATTGCTGAATTTCAACGTGGAACTTTTGACCAATGAAATTTACCTATTTAGCTGTTATTTGCTGTTATATCTAAAGAATTTACTCCCCACTTTCATCCTGTATGTCTTATAATAAAGTCTCCATTCTCTATTGTAGCGAGTGATAGTTTGTTACTGGCTTTAGAAAATTATATTAACTCATTTCGATTTACAATTTTTGCTATCAACTCGTGCGATATCTTGTTTAAGATGTATGATATATTTTGCAGTCGCCAAAACTAACAAATAGATACACAACCTTTCGGACTTTCTCTGGACTGTTCGTACATATCTCTATACACAGAGAAGTTTCCACAGATGAGAGGATAATATCCGAGGAAATCTGAGAAGCAAATGCGTGTCGACTGTTTCTGCAGGGTTTGTATGGCCTGGATTAAAAATCGATTACGGAAGTGTTGAAACGTGGACAGCAGTACATGGAAATATGTTTTAATTCCAAAAAGCTTAATGTTTTGTTCTTTGGATATGTTATTTTCGAATGGTCAGTATGGTGACGCGAACTGTTCTTCCCTTGTGTGCTTGTGTTGTGACAATCGCAGTGCTGTCTCCTTTTTTTTGTCATATCGTAAAGACAGCATCGCCGGAGCAGAAACCGACAGGTCTGTACTTTTTTCGAATACATAATCTGTCATTTTAATTAGACTAAAACCTTTGAGATCTTTTCAACTATGAATAAAGTTACTTGTATGAAAAATGATCTTGAGAAGATGTTCCCCCGTGTGTTTGCGGTGGACCTTTGATGTCTGGATAGACAAGGGCCCCCGGCTGTCAAACATATTGGACTGCAGGAGAGTCAGAACACTACCTTCCAATTCTTATATAATTAGCTCTAGGCAACCTGTTTGTTTATAATTAGCACGATAAAAGTTATAGATAAGTTAGATAGCTGTAATCCATAATCATTACAGACCATCAGTAGATTTGGCTCCCTCCACTTACAGCAGTACATATACTACAATGCCTGTGCACCAGTTGAGTGGAGTGGGTACTCTTTCGAACTAAAATAAGTTGATGTTCATGCACAGGGACACATTACAATAAGAAAACATAATAGTAAATTATAATAGACTCTGAACCATTTTTTACACAGTCTCATCTTAACTTGTCCATGAGAACATTATTCTGAATCCATACTTTTTATTTCAATGTTTTCCTAGGTTTCTTCATTACATGTACAGAGAGGGAATGTCTCTGAATTTTCAAATTATAACTGAACTTTGAAACAGTTTGATTTTGTTGATGATTGAATGACATTCAGGATAGGATTACCATCAGAGGCGATTCTTAACTGTCTGTATGACCCTCGAGAAAACCTTTAGGTTAGTCAGTCAAGAACGTACGACTCAGCTTGGATAGATATTTCTGACATATCATAAAGCAGGGAATGGTCCAATAATTTTCTTACCCTAGACAAATGTATCCATCTTTTAGTGGAGCAAGAATTCATTGTTAAAAATTAGGTGGAGACGGGATTCCTCTATCAAGACGATGGTATGACATCACAGCAACAATTCATTGATACCACATACATCAGCAACTCACTAATGTCATGTCAAAAGTGTCAAGCATTGTGATAACAGCATTACATGAGAGATTTACAAATGTAAAGTTTAAGTTCTGTTATTTGTAGAAAGATATTAATTTGAGGATTATTTAGTCCAAAATATGAATAACTAGTTTAGATTTTTCTTTGATCTCTATGATTGAAGTTAGTTCATTGTATTTTTAGGTTCTTTTTAAGTCAGAAATCAGTGAGGTACATATGAGTTAAGTCCTTAATTGTATCTGACAACTGGCATTACCTCCTGGTCATGTGTTACTGGTATATATATTGATTATTGATAGTAATTGTGTCACACTGCCTTGTAGTATAAAGTGCATCTGTATTGAAAAAAAGATAATTGAATACAATCAAGCTGTTGAGCACATGGTGTCAAAGATACTTGTACTGATCAAAACTTACTGTTTTGTATAGCATACTATAGTTATGAGAGTAAGAAGAGAAGGGAGACATTGGGTCCTTTGTGATCACATGATTAAGGTGTTTGACTGTCTTTATCACTAGTTCTTCACATCTAGGTAACAGGATCGAGGCCTACATGGGACAGTCATGTCACATAATATACCTTCATACTGACTGCAGGTTGGTGGTTTTTCTCAGGGAACTCTGGCTTTCCTTTGCCACTCAATCCTTGCATGTCCTTAAGCAACCCTGGCTGTTATTAGGACATAAAGCAACAATAAACTAAACTGAACCACATGCATCAGGGGCAGAAGAGCTAATTCCTTGCCACACCAAGGTGGGTAGTCCCCATCATGCCTGACTCGAGCAGACAGGATCTTTGATAATACACTCATGATGATGATATGTATCATTGTATACATTGATATTAAAATTGTACTTGAAATATATTGTTGTATGGTCCTGTATAGGTATCTTTTATCATTTTATTATCTTTAATTTGCAGCCACATTGAACTTTCATATCCAAATGGAATTGTCAAATATACATCATTACATGTGTACGTTTCGGAGTCTGATATTCATCAGTTTTGATAATTGATCATTTGTACGCTATGATTCAATATAATTTGTATTCAGATATACAAGTTGTGAATAATTCAGTTGTATAAATTTCACATTTACTGACTGTACAGGTCTGTGACCATGAAAGTTTTGTAAATGTAAATTGCAGACCACTTCAAGTTCAAGTTCATGAGGTCTTACTGTTTGGAAATAAATTTATTAGTATTGTCTGTATTGCATCAAAAAGAACATAAGAAGAAAGAGCATTTTAAGTAGGTAGCACATTGACTGTTTTACTGCAATACCTTCTATCATAGAGTACCTGTTTAATGCTTTGACGAAAGGATCACGATTCACATGCTTGTACCCGGTAACCTACTGCTGTACAAAGTAAGCACTCACCACTTGTTGTAAAGCTCGGTTCTAATTTAACTGTACTGACGCAAGGGGAACTATTACAAATAACAGTAAAGATAAGTGCATTTATATGACTATAATTGTAACGGGAAGAACATTGGAGAAGATAAACCTTTGAACATAGTTTTGTTATTCAAACTTTATAATTAAATTAACAGTTTCTGCAGGAGTTCTGAGGTTTTCTCAGCTCTTGATTTAAAGTAATGGAAACATACAAGAATTGTCTTTGTTCCAGTTTTTCATTTAATAGCTTTAATTAAATTCTTTCATAAAAAAATATTATAATAAGAATCACTCTCATTTTGGATATACTGTATTTTCCAGGTTATAAACAGCATCGATGTATAAGCTTCAGAGCCAAGTTTTAATGATTTTTATTTGATCCACGTATAAGCCACACTGGAATATAAGTCACACCCTTTCTTATGATGTGGTATTCGTTATGTTGACCAAAAGTTCCTTGAGGTAACAGACAACGGAAGGGAATTTATCAAGATTGTCAGTGAAAAGTTATATAAGTTTGCAAATACATTATACATGGAAAATCTTTTATTTTATTGATGTGTTTCAAAAATGTGAAATAGCAATTATCAAACTTGTTGGGTTGGAAGCCTCTAAAGATTATCTGAGCACAGATATATGGCCTGACATTACTAAATATCTCCATCGATGTCTGTGCTGTTAAATATTAGTGATGGCTCTTGCATACTGACAAAGTTCTTGTAGTCTCATATTTCTTATTTATAGTTACACGTAGCCATTCTTATTGTAAACAATCATTGTAGTAATTCTAGAATCTGACCTATAGCCTAATGACCTATCGATCCTAGGATGCTATTGAAAACTTCTACTATGGCTTCAGAAGCAACCATGAAAAGTTTGTCTCGTAGGGGTAAACTTCTTTTTTTTTTGTTTTTGGTTTTCACTCTGCCAAATTTTTTTCCCATCCATATTTAAACAGCACTGGTATATAAGTAAGCCTCACGCCTGACTGCCAAGGGAAAAAGCTGGGACTTATAATATGGAAAATACAGTATATATTCATATACAAGTTCATAAACAGTAGTGATATTGTGTTCTGTTGATTTCAGTTCGTCATGACAGCCATCTGAAATATCTCCTGTAAAAGCGTTGATTTAATTAGCAGTTAGCTAGGTCATAGAACTCTCAACCATATAATCATGATTATCTGTTTGCATTGTGATACATTTCATCATTCCAATATTTACATATATTTTTTTCTAAAATTCAAAATGAAAATCTCATGAAACCTGTTAAGAAGCTAAGGCTTAATGTAAACAGCTTATTTAAGGTTTATGTATGTGTTCAGGACCCATTGTTAATTTTTATATCAATGTTGAATGAGGTCATCATGATGAATTACTGTAAGGGATATTATAAAGTCAGTGCCTCTTAAGGATTCATATACAATTTATATGTAGATGATTGTAGATTATTTTAGACTATTTTTGGACATCTTACTTAAGGAACAATTAATTAGTTTAAACAATATTTTATTCAATGTTTAACATTTAGATATACATATAATTCAAATCTTAACTAAGAGGATTTGGTAACAAGCTTAAAGCTTATGTAAAACCATCTCCTAAAATGTTATACCATTCACATATCGACAGAGTGGTCCAACTAAAAAGGAATGCTGGTGGCAGCTATAAAATTACAATCCGAGTACTGATCATGTGTTTGAAATGTAGTCAACAATTAATTGACATCAGACAGTTCATTATACTTGCATTAACAAGTGTTCTATGCCATTGTGTGTGAGTGTATATAGTACTAATTAAATGTACATCTTCCTCTCGTTCTGTCGCAGGAAATTATAATGGTTCCTGTGTATTTCAATAACATATATGCATATTTATCTATGATAGCTACTACATATGAGTCCAGACATTTAGAAAGTCCAATTAGATACAGGTTCATTGGTATTATGTAGAAATATTTCATTTAATTCTAACCTTCATACATCTTAAAGATCTTGTAGATAAAATACACTAAGATATAGG